CCATCCAGCGCCCCCGCCGCGCGGCAGCGCCACACGTTTTGAGACGGAAACGAGCAGATGGAGGTCAGCCGGTCAGGTGATCAGTTCCCAGTGGTCCTCTGCGCCAGATCACTGGCTGCCGAGGGAGATGTCCTCTCCCGTGCCGCCGGCTGCTATCAGCGCGACGCGATCGATCTTGATTCCTGACAGAGGTGTCTCGACTCTCGACACACTTCTTTGCATAATGGCACATCTTTTGTCAGCTGGTCCTCACTCTGATTTTGAACGATGAATTACTGAGAACCCCCAGTCAAAACAAGCTTACAGTTCACACCACTCAATGCCCGTGTATCACTCTGTACCACAACTTCACGTATTGCCTAAAAAATCTAACTATTTGTTGAGTGCAAACATGCAAGCCTTGCCTCTGGAGCAATGAAGAAGGAAATTGACGCATCTTTGAGCCTATTCATGCTTCAACAAACTTGTACCGGCACATACAGACACCACCAATAATGCAGGGATAATGGAGTAGATTAAGACATGGATTGTACTGGCACATACATACATCACCAATAATGCAGGGATAATGGAGTAGATTAAGACATGGGCCCTGTTAGGATCCAGGGGCTAGAGCTAGTTTGTGCTAGTTTGAGCTCAACTAGCCAAAAAGTATCCAAACAGGAGGGCTAGAGTGGGCTATTTGCAACTAGCCCACCCCAAAAAACTATCCCCAAAAGAGGTGATTATTTGGTCTAGTTCTGGTGGGGCCCACTGGAAACTCTTATTTTTTTATTACTCCACCCGCACCGGATCCTCGTGACTTGCCTCCCCCATCGCGACTCGCGCCGCCGCCGGTCCCAACCGCGCCGCCGCCGCTTCAATCCGCCAAAGGAGCAACGCCGCCGGCCCCCCGGAGGCGGATCTCGGTCGCCCGCGCCGCCTCCCTCCCTCCCGCCGCGCCCTTCCCCTCCGTCTCCAAGGCCGCCGCCGCCGTAAGCTCCGGCCACAGTAGGTCGCCTCCACGGGCCACTTTGTCGCAGCTTGGTGAGAGTGAGCCACGTCTCCGCACCTCCAGATCGCCCCGCTCTGCGTGCTCGATCTAGAGAAGTTCGCGTGGACGAGAGACGGATTCGACGACTTGTGGAGCTCACTTGCAACCGTCGACGAAGCGGCCCTGCCGCCGCCGGTCTCGACCTCAACTCGCAGCAGCCGGTGGCAGAGGGTTCCTGGCTTTGTACCAGACGGAGACTTCCTCCAGGGCGATGACGTCGAGCTCCTTCCTGGACGTGGCAGGGGCTCCGGCCTCCCTCCCTATCGCCCACCGCGTGCTGGAGCAAGAGACGCTTGGGCGACTCCGACGCCCCAGCATGCTCGACAACTGCTCTTTGGCGGCTCCTCCTCGGCGGCAGCCGGTCGCAGAGGAGGAAACGGTGGCGGCTACACCGGTAGGTCATCGTCGGGGGCAGGCGGTGGTGTTCGGCAATACATGAACTTCGGCCGCCGCAGAAGAATGGCCGGTGTCCCCAGCGCACCAACACGGCTTCCTATGGCAGCGGTGGCCAGGGCATACCGCTTCCCCGAGCACCGAGGGCACCGAGGAGTGGCGTCCGTGGGCAAGCATCCGGCTCCAACGCTACCTTCGACATTGACGATGAAGCAATGGAGGATAACATGGAGGAGTTAGCGAGCTCCGGCGGTCCCCCGGTTAGCCATGCCAGTCGAGCCCAATGGAATGATGCAAATAATGCTTGCTTGTTAGAATTGTGCATAGAGCAACGTAGAGCAGGAACGTATAATGGTTCACAAATGAGTGGTGAAGGGTACCAAGCCGTTGTCGATGGCTTACTTGCCAGAAGAAGGTTGGTGTACACCCGTGGACAAGTGAAGAACCAAATAGGCATACTCAAAAACACCCACGCTTTTTGGCGCTACTTGCAAACGCACGCAGGTTGGGAGGAGACCAGATGGATCCATTGATGTAGATCATGATTTCTGGCTAACTCACACAGAGGTACAATATTCCTTAGCATATTTTTTGTGCTCTCATATCTTAACTAGTATGCTTGGTTACTCTATGCTTGCTTCAAATTTGATCAATGCAAGTCGTTGCACATAGGAACTTATCATTGTCTTCTGTTTTACTTGGTTGTACATGTTGTTATCCTTTCGTTTGGACTGTCTTCTGTTTTACTTGGTTGTACATTAGTGAGTGTGAACTGCAAAGACAATGACTAGTGCGTGTGAAAAAAATGATGCTTGTGCTATGTTGTGGTGCCCGATTATACATCTTTATTGTAAGCAAATGATATTCTCCTGTCATAGTTTCTAATCAACTTTTGTGCTCTCATATCTTAAATGAGAAAAAACCATACTTAAAGAAGTTCTTGTGAGTCCTCCAAACAAACGAGGACTTGGTTGATGAACTGTTCAGAGGGTACACTATGGATGGCACCACAGCCTTTGTGCTCGGTGATGATTATGGTGACAATGAGGAGCAAGATGCAAGGATGTAAGATGATGAAGAAGAAGAGTTTGCACAAACACCTACAAGTAGAAGCTGACAGAGGAGCTAGAGGGCAAGAGGGCATTGAACAACACCACAAGCACTTTGACCAGATCCGGTGAAGAGGAGCAAGAGCCCAATGGTGAAGATTGTGAAGGACATAGCGGTACCTTCAAAGAATCTATCATGACCAACACTAAGCAAATCCAGAAACATGCAAATGACAAGGCTGCATTTTCTGTCAAGAGGTGTCAGGAGCTAGCATTTGAGTGTGGCGTTGAGAAAACCGTTGACTCTGTCTATGCTATGTCCAAGATGTTCAAAACAGAGTACCAAAGGGAGTTCTTCTGTGGCCAGTTAACTCCTGAGCTTAGGTTGGGTTACTTCAAGAAATGGTGCAGGGACAACAATTTGGAGTAGTTAAGATCTTTTGGGTCCATGTGTGTTGAACCTATCATCTATGTGTGAGGTGTTGAACTTATTATATGTGCGTGTGATCTATTATCTGTGTGGTGTAATGATCCTTTATGCTATGTGTTGAACCTATTTAAATTAATCTATGAGCTATGATGTCAAGTGTTGAAGTATTAATTTGTTGAATTAATTTGCTTACCTTGGTTCAAGTTTTATGCTATGTGCTGATAGTTTGTTACATGTGTTGAGGCAGGAAGATGATCATGGCCCCATGATTGAGGAAGAAGATGATGGAGGCAGCTCAAGTGATGATGAAATTATATCCATGTGCCGCAACAATTTGGTGCAGCAACAAAATTTGATTCTGCAGTTGGTTTCTATCTTGGGTATGTACTCTGATAACTACTTCCTAAAACTACCTAAGAGGGTCACTGGAGATTCTGGTTTGGATTGGGTGCATGAGACACTAGCCCGAGAAACCCAATGTTACAACATGTTTAGGGTTAAGAGACCTTTATTTTACAGGTTGCATAATACTTTGGTCCAGAGGTATGGGTTGAAGTCCACTAAAAAATGACATTTGTATAGGCTCTTGCTATGTTTTTATGGATTGTTGGTGCACCACAGTCAGTTAGAGAGACTGATAATCGTTTTAGGAGGTCTCTAGAGACAGTAAGCAGGACATTTAACAGAGTTTTGAGATGCCTCCTTAGGTTAGCACATAACAACATTAAACCCAAGGACCCAACATTTCCAGAAGTGCACCCAAACTTAGAAAATTCAGCATTCTTGCCACACTTCAACGAGTGCATAGGAGCTATAGATGGGACACATGTGAAGGTTGTGGTGGATAAGAGTAAGAGAGTTCCATACTTGAACAGGCACAATGAGACTAGTCAGAATGTGCTTGCTGTTTGTGATTTCGACATGAGATTTACCTTTGTGTTGTCGGGATGGCCTGGTTCAACACATGACATGAGAGTTTTCAAAGATGCCATAACTACTCATCATCACAAATTTCCACATCCACCACTAGGTTTGCTACTTGAACTTTCTTGCAAAATTTTTTATCCAATTACACTTGTTTATCTAAGTCTCATTGTGTGCCTTTGAAAATATATAGGGAAGTATTGTGTGGTTGATGGGGTACCCAAACCGGCCGGGCTACCTTTCACCATACAGATGTACAAGGTACCATGTGGAGCAATGGCAAAACGGCCCGCCGCCACAAGGTATGAAAGAAACCTTCAACCATGTACATGCCAAAGTTAGGAATGTCATAGAGCGAACTTTTGGAGTGTTGAAGATGAAGTTTAGGATTTTGTTGAACATGCCAAGATTTTTCAGAGAGAAGCAAACTAGAATTATTGTTGCTTGTATGGCTCTTCATAATTTTATTCGAGAGAGTAGAATTGCAGATAGAGAATTTGATGCATGTGATACGGATGAAAATTATAACCCAATATCTAGTTCTTCGGCATCAACATGGCCAAAAGATGAACCTCTTGTTGAAGATGTCAACATGAATGCCTTCCGTGATGAATTAACTCATGCTTTGTTTCATGGAGTGTAATTTTTTTGTTTAGCTTGATTGAGGACTTGTAAGTTTGAGTGACACGTCTCATATGTATGGACAAATTAAAATTTATTGTGATTTGGATGCTTGATTTGTACAAATAATGTATTTGCATCATTTGTGTGCGGAAGGAGACCACACAAAAGCCTGCCACACCAAATCCAGCTGGAAAGATGGTTTAAATGAACCAAATAATTAGAAAAGTATATTCATTATTAATCTAACCCTTGTTTTAAACAACTCTTAAACTAGAGTTAGTGCAGAACTACTTTAGAGTAAAAAATAGCTCTAACCTCTAGCCGAGCTAAAGTATCAAACAGCGCCATGGAATATTCAGATCAGCAAAAAAATATCAATTATGCCGAGAGAGCCGCTCTAGGCTGCGATTGACATACAGATTCTTGTCGCCCCACAAACAGTAGATCTCACGTCAACAGTGACGCTTTATGGAATTGACACTGACTAAACAAACAATGGCACTACGATCGATCCACAACAATGAGCGGCACAGGCGGCCGCACGGCGTCACACGACGGCGGTGGCGGCGGGCTGGGGGTCGGCCGCCCAGACGATGTCCTTGAGCGCCGGCCTGAGCTCCTCGCTGCAGAAGGAGCGGTACTCGAGCGTGTCGCCGCCGTCCTTCTTGACGTCGACCACGAGCACGGACGGCGCCACGCTGAAGATGTCGGCCGCCACGGCTAGGCGGCCCTTGCGGCCCCCGCGCTCCGCGCCCTCGAGCCGCACGCCGCGGGCGCCGCTCTTGGTCACCCGCATCCGCCCGCCGCCGCGGGCGGCCACCTCCTCGAGACGGGAGACAACGCCGCTCGCGGACTCCCGCGTCGCGAACCGCATGCCGCCCTCCCGGTGGCTCCTTGCGGAGGGACTGCCTTCCACATCGAACAGCGGCGAGAGGTCGAACCCCGCGGAGAGGGAAATCAGGTGGAACGCGTTCAGCGTCTCCGGCGGCTCGTCCTTGTCGCCGCCGTCCTTTGCGGAGCAGACAGGCTCGGCCGGCGGCTCGGCGGCGGCGGCTGCTTTGACGGGCTTCCCGATGGACGGCTTGTTGAACCACGGCATCTCGACGATCTGGGCGATGGTGATGCGGGTGTCGGGGTTGGGGTCGAGCAGCTTGGGGATGAGCCTGCGCGCCTCGGTAGACAGCCACGGCGGGCACCGGTAGTCGCCGCGGCTCATCTTCCTGAACATGGCGGCGATGTTGTCCTCCGGGAACGGTAGCGACCCGGCGAGGAGAACGTAGAGGATGACGCCGCACGACCAGATGTCGGCCTTGGCGCCGTCGTAGCCCTTGTTCCGGAACACCTCCGGCGCGACGTACCCCGGCGTGCCGCAGAGCGTGTGCAGCAGCCCGTCGCTGCGCGCGTGGTCGGCGAGCGCGCTGAGGCCAAAGTCGACGACCTTGAGGTTCCCGGCCTCGTCGATGAGGAGGTTCTCCGGCTTGAGATCGCGGTGGTACACGCCCCGCGCGTGGCAGAAGTCGACGGCGGAGATGAGCTGGCGGAAGTAGCGGCGCGCGAGGTCCTCCTTGACGCGGCCGGCGCGCACGATCCGCGTGAAGAGCTCCCCGCCGCGGACGAGCTCGAGCGCGAGGTAGATCTTGGAGCGCGTGGCCATCACCTCGTGGAGCTCCACGATGTTTGGGTGGGACACGCGCTTCATCACGGCGATCTCGCGCTTGATCTGCTCCATCATGCCCGCGCGCAGCACCTTGTCCTTGACGAGCACCTTCACCGCCACGCCGCGCCCGGTGCGCAGGTCCCGCGCCGCGTGGACGCGCCCGAAGTTGCCGTGCCCCAGCACGCGGCCCAGCTCGTAGCGGCCCTGCAGCACCCCGCCCTTCACCTCCGCCGCCTCCCCCTCACCCATGCCTGAAGCCTGATCGATGGATCGATCCCCTACTAGAAATGACCGAGCTAGCTAGCTGTATCTGGAAACTACCCTACTACGACGACTAGCAGATGGAAGGAAGGATGGATGGGGTCTACCCGTCCTCAACGTGCTTGCGGTGGCAGGTTCGGTCGCCGCGCAGCTGGCGCTGGCCGGCGACGTCAGTGCCTGAGCGCCGCCTCATCGCTCCGCATTCCCTGGGGGCGCGCCGGGGCGCTCGTCTCGCCGCCGGGGAGTAGATCGGCAGGTGCGAGAAGGAAGCACGGGGCCGCGGTGGCTTTGCGTGGCGAGGGGAAGTCGATCTCAGTGTGGGAATGGCTCACCCCCGCGGCGGCCCGGTTATTATAATGGGTGGGCTAGGGCGGCGGTACAGGGGCCTACTAGTACTAGGGCCCTAGAGCCGTAGGCGGTGGCCAGACGACGTTCTCGTGAGGGATCTCAGCCGGACGATGTGGATCAGACGGTGAGGGTAGTATGCTAGAGCGTGGGGCTTTTGATGGCTGCGGTTGTTGGGATGCGTCGGACGCCGCGGAGTCTGATTGAAGGGCTGGCTGGACCGTGTGACGCGGGAGGGACGGCCTGATTGGGGGAGGCTGACGGCTACCTACGGGACGAGGGGGAAGGAAACCCGCTGCGGCATCGCACCATGGTTCGCGTGGTACAACGGAAACCGCGGGCCGGTAATGCAGAGTTGCAAACGCAGGAACCGAACGGTGGCATGGAAACCCGTTGCAGTTGCAGTTGCAGTTGTGCAGTACAGCACCATATGGTTCACGTGATATGGCCGGTACAGCCAAGTTGCAACGCAGGAACGTCGAGGGCTAACGGAGCAACGGTGTCTACGGTACAGTCCAAGGATCACCGTATGGTGCTTTCTGAGATATTTTTTTCCCAGACCACATGGAACTTGATATTGTTGCAAAGAAATTTCCTTTTTAGTGAACAAGGTTGTTGCAAACATCTGGAGGTAGGCGGCGCTGAGTTTGTTCGGCTCTTTGTTTCAGGGATTCCACATTCTAGCAAACATTTCTCTTTTTGTACCTGGTAGAACCTGCTTTCTAGCTATTATTATGATTTACTTCTTCACATTTCAGTCACCATCCTCTCTTTAGAATGTGAAACCAAACCAACCAACAAAACCAAAATATTCACAAAATAATTCTGATTCATAGAGAAATGATTTGAGGAAGAAATCAAGTCTGAAACATGTCTAACAGTATACAAAATTCTAAGAAATGACCATTAACTTAGGCCTTGTTTGGCAACCATAAATGTTTCTGTTTCTCGGAAGAAACTGCAAAATCGTTGCCAATCGGTCTAACGCGTAGTGATTCACTAGGAGAATCGTTTCGCTAGATTCGTTTCTTGCCTCGATCTCCTTTGTTCTACCAAATGGTTTTTTTTAGTAAAACATTTTCGTAGGGTAACAAGTTAAAATGGGTTGTATTTAAGTTGTAATTCATCCATAAAAATGGATTTTTTTCTAAAAACATGTCTTTATTTATATATCTTTTATAAAAAAATTATTTAGAATCTGGCATAATAGTCAAATGGTTCCACAAAGTTATTCTAATTTATCACCTTGAACATTTCTTGATCAGTGTCAAATACTCCCTTAATTTGATTTCAAAGGTATATGATTCCTATCACTAGTGCACTCCTCGTCAAGGCCTTGGACCGTGCCACAAAGCAATTGCACCTAAGTAGTGCTCCTTCCGTAAAAAAATGTTATTCTCACCTCCCTAAGAGTCAAACAATGTAAAGTGTAATCAAATCTATACAAAAAAATACTACCATTTATAATACAAAATAAGTATTATTATATGAATTTTGAATTTTTTTTATAGTAAACATGTTTGGAGACATAAATGTTGAGTCAAATTGAGAACGCCTAATATGTTTCAAACCTAGAATTAGATTTTCTTTTCGGGGTAGAAGGAATATGTATCTCGCAACTTACCATAACCTTTGGTTGGCACGTAACCGTAACTTAGTAATTCCTACCTTCTCTTCTTTTTAGGGCATATTTGGATCCATTAGCTCTAAATGTTAGCTGAAAAAATAGTTGCTATGGAGCATGGATCAAACATGCACAACTAATATAGGGTGGCTAACTATTAACTAGGCACCAGCTAACAATTATCAAATTAGCACTCAAAAACCAGCTAATAGATCGCCAAAACACACTTGGCTCCCATCACCCCTTTCTTCCCCTTCTAGTGGCAGTTTAGACAATTCCAACAACCTATTACCAATTACAAATGCAACATCGCACGGAGAAAATTTATATAATACTAATGTGATTGTTTTTTTATAGTGGTTTATCCATACTTCTCTATAAATCTTCAAAGCTCATCCTTCAAAAAGAATGCCGTCATTGAGCTCGAGTTCCTGAACACGAATATGGCTGTCTATGAAGAAATTGCGTTGGGTTGGTTCTTCTAGCTCAACAAAGCGATGCGTGTGCGGTCTGCGGGAAATAATTCTTGCTGGGAATGAGAGTCTGTACTCTGTACTACGATTGACTCCCTACATCGTGCTAGTTCGACACGTCAAAAGCTTTGCTTCGAACAAACGGCAGAGCACACGTCTGCCACAGCCCCACGTCGGTAGAACGCCTGCGCCTATCTACACGTACTGCAGCTAGCTAGCTATATATTCCAACAAAAGGTCCGATGATGCCTAGCATTTCATCAATTAGCACCGGGAAGAGTAGTAGCACGTTCTTTCACATTTTTGGAAAAAAAATACGTTCTTTCACATCATTAGAGAAATAAAGATAACCAGTTAATCAAAAGTCGTGTTGGATCACTCAACTGATGATAAACTGGAAGAGACTCCATTTTTACGCGTGCGTATGCGCGTCGTCACGTGCAAAACGCGACGAGGCTAGCTGGGATTATTTGCATCCCCTCCCTACCTGGTGCCAGCACAATTAACCACAGGTCGATGAATCATGGAGCCGTGAAAGCGAGACGGGTCGGCCCACGACAGAGAGAGGGTCGACAAGTCGGCCGGAGATGATGCGAGGGATCCTAGATAGCCCTACCATTTTTACACCTTGTTTAGATGGCGAATTTTTTTTCTAAAAAATGTTACAGTAGCTATCACATCGAATCTTGCGATACGTGCATAGAGCATTAAATGTAGACGAAAAATTTTAATTACACAGTTTGGTTGAAAATCGCAAGACGAACGTTTTAAGCCTAATTAGTCCATAATTAAACACTAATTAGCAAATAAAAACGAAAATACTACCCTAACCTAAATTCCCAAAATTCACTAACTAAACAAAAACAAGTGCTTAGTACCGACATCTCTAGCGTCAGCCGGGAGCAGGGTAGTAGTACTCGATGGAGCCAGCAGTTTCTGCCGCGGATTCAATCCAGTCGACATCGACGTCGACCGCCCACCCCATCTCGGCCTCCCGGCGGCCTGACGCGATCGAGCGCTCCGCTAGGCCGGTGACAAGTGTCGAGGCGGACAGGCGGTCGCTGCGCCCGTGCGACCCCACGCTCGAGCGGAGCGGTGGGCAGGTCTGCCGGGTGTACACCTAGCTAGACGGGACGTGGGCGCCCCCGGCCCGGCGGTTTCGTCGCGTTCCCCCTACCGCGCGCCAAGGGCTGAGCCGTGCGCTGAGGGCGTCGGAGTCGGGACCTGACGTGATATTCGCCACGTCGTGTCCTTTTGCGTGGCGCAGTGTCGCCCCCCGCGGGGGCCGACGTCGCGTCGCGATCCTTCACCTGCACGGCCTTTGCACTCTCGTGCCGTCATTCTGGTCACCGGGTATGTCTGTATCAAATAAGGAATCCACCCACACGAGCGACGGCGCGGTTCGCCCGTGCCATACACTGATGAAGGAAAGCTGCTGGATTAGCGGCTAGTGATCTTTCTTCTGAAAGGCTATCGGGCCTGCACAGTAATTCTGAGGTCAGACGGGGGTATGCAGTAGTAAAAAAAATGATGTACCTTAAGCCGATATCAGAATCAGGAGCTGTGATTTGCAAGTTGCAACCGCAGGGGATACTACAGAAATATACTGTAGCGACAGCAGCTGGAAATAGTGAAACGCTGTACAAGCTGCGCCATCTAAATTTGAAACACAACTTTTTAATGGCAAAAAAAAAATGGCAAAAAAAAATCCTGCACAGGCATTGCATTTAGGGGTTCTGGTTGGTTGGCTGGGTCCATCGTATATACTTCACATTTATTGCGTTTTCATGTTCCTGAAAATTTTTTTGGTTGGCTGGGTCCATCGTGTCTAATTATACTTTGAAATTTAGCATGGGACACCACGCAATTATTATTTTAAAAAAATGTTTGCAAAAACCAAAAGTCTTGATTTTTTAAAAAAAATGTTTGAGTCTTGATGGACTCGTTTTGATGCATATTTGCTAGTAGAAGATCTCATTATCTATTATAGTTAATCGATATTATAGTTAATCGATACTGATCTTTCGACGAAGCGGACAAAATTTAGGAGGGTTACGGCTTTTAGAAACACCACCGGTGCATCGTCAGATATATACATAAAATTTTAAGAGTAGGATGGGCTCGTTGATCCCCTATCCTGGATAATTTTGGTAGGAATTGATCCCCTATCCTGGATAATTTTCAAAGCAATTGTGTTGCCCTGCGTGGTTCCATGTACCCTGACATATATATGGTCTGGACGATGCTCCACTAACACTTCTACAATGATCAACATCGACTAATTATACAATAACAAGAGATTCTACTAGCAAATAAGCACAAAAAATAAGTCCATAAAGATCGAAACAATTTCAAGCTAGGTACCATAAGTTTGAGCATGATTTTAGAATAAATCTGAAACTAGTTTCATAAATTTTGGACGTAAAACAAGTATGAATTTCTAAGATTTAACCAAATTTTAGGATTTTAAAGTACATTATTTTCCCTTGTAAAAGTATTTAGATAATTTTTTAAAATTTATTTTTATGATTTTTTGGATTTAAAAA